TTTTTTTTGTTTTGTTAATGTTTTTCCCAAGTGTTTATCATTTTCTTATAATTAATATTTGGTGTGATATTTGCAATCATTTTTATAGAAAATATTAGAATTTATTAATGTTATGCTAAAGAATTTCTGACGTTTTTGCTACATAATTTCACTAGTGCCGGTCTCAAAGGGAAACAAACCTAGGGGATTTTTTAACGAAATTAAATATTTTAATAGCTTTGGAAAACGCTGCCCTTAAAGGAGCGCTTACTTAAAATTTACGCGACATATAGTACGACGAATTTTATAGCAAGGATTTTCTTTCTGGCTAAGCAGTTAGTAATAGAAAATCGCGAATATCTCAAAAACTATAAACCTTATACCGTCAATACTTCTGGAATATATTCATGAATTTCTTTATAACTATCTATTTCCAAAATTATGCTATAATCTAGTATTGTAACCTAAAATAAAACGTTTAGAGTAAGGAATATTAAAAACAAATTTGAAAATTATGAATTCTAAATAAATTCCTACGTTAATTAAAGAAAAATTGTTAAAAAAAAACTTTCACAGTATTTTCTCTTTAGGTAATATGTTTTCTAGTAAATAATTGTGAATTCTTACAGGGCCTTTGTTGAAACAGGATTTGAATATACGCAGAAAGGTCCATTAAATGAAGATGAGCTTTTAGCTATGCGTAAATTGTCACCTATTATACACGCTCACAAAGTAAAAGCCCCCACACTACTTCAAATCGGTACTAAAGACCTGCGAGTACCCCCTGCTCAAGCTATAGAATATTATCATCGCCTCAAAGCAAATGGCGTACCAGTCAGGTAAAAATAATGAGCTGATAACCTTTTTTTTAAAAGGAAATATAAACAGGCTTTGGTTAATTAATACATGCTTAAGACAGAATTGTAACTTCCAACTTTTCTTAGCAACTTCATTTACATTCAGAAATACTATTGTCATGATAATAAAATATTTCTCATTTTTTATTCCAGAATGAACCTTTATGAAGACAATCATTCACTGTCTCAGGTGCCACATGAAATTGACAATGTAATTAATGGTATAATATGGATTGATAAATATCTGAACCCAACATAACATTTTTTAAAGTATACTATATTGTATTTTAAATCTTTATACATAAGTAACTGCTCATTATTTTACGTCAATAAACAGTTTTATTTCTACTGAAAACTGATATTTTTTCAGTTAATTGTTTGATTATTTTTTTATTTTCAATTTCAAGTTTGTAATTTACTATATGGAAGGACTACTACAATGAACTATAAACCCCGATTGGACCATTTTAAAATTGAAAGTGAATTACATTCGCGTTTACAATGGGCAAAAGTTATACATCGAAGTCTCAGCAACGACTTTAGCAGGCGATGTAGACCATAAATCAATTCTGTCCTCTGTTCTTATATTGTAAGATAATTCTTTAGTACTTTTCACAATATAAGCAAAAAACAAACACTACTTTTTTAAACATACATACAATTTAGACATCTTTTAGAAGTGTTGGTTTAATATGAAATATTATTCTGAAAATTCATTATTGAATTTTTTACCCACTGCACACTACCTCAAATTAATGAGGGAAAAATTGTTGCTGTTGTCACACCCCACTATTTTTTTACTATTGTAACTAGTTCCCCCCTATCAGTCACTGTGAGCTCGAAATTCACTTTTGTGAACAATTTGTTTAATCACTTTCTTTGTGTTTAAAATTGAAACATTAAACTTAAAAGAATTGTTTATAAATAGGTATGCAACACATCGTACACTTCAGCATACGAAATGGCTGATACTTTCATTTACATAATATTATATACTTTGCCTTGTGCTGAAAGCACTCATAATTTTTTATATATATATATATAATACTAGCGACCCTCCCCAGCTTCGCACGGGTGCAATGCTGATACTAAATGTATTTTTGTTATGTCCCTGCATTTTAAATCTGTAATATTTTCGAAAATATTCATTTAAATTACATACCGTAAAGGGCCATATTGATCTATATTAAATTTACAATGTATTTAAGGTACTTAATTGGATAAGAATTAATGCTGTGTTGCTTACAATCGCTTTGTAAATAAGTCATTATTTCTCATAAAAAGTAAAGGATAAAAAATGGTTATTGTGGGTTTCCCTAAGAGATAAAAATATATACCATCGCGGACTTTTTTGTAGACCTTTTTAAGATGTACAATACTGTACTACATTTTTTTGATCTATCTCGTAGGGCAAACGCTGGCTTTGCAATGTAAGCGCAAAAAATGTGTTTATTTACATCACATTAGAAATTTCTAAAATTATCAGTTTTAGAGATTTAAGCATACATAGGGACAGACAGCGGGAAAGCGACTTTGTTTTATACTATGTAGTGATATTGTTATGTTTAATTTCTATTGTTCTTTGGGCTTTTTTTATTGCTAATTTATTATCCTATAATTTCGAACAACATTCAGAATACAAATAATTCAACTTTTTAAGTTCATCTTTTACTTTTGTCCAGTGCTGAAATTGTACCCAAAGGATTATTATAATTTATAATTTAATCATTAATTTGGGATAAATTATAATGAAAAAGAAACTGACAATGAATTTTCGAATATATAACTTATAAATTAAAACACTAAGAAATCTGGACGTCCTTGCACTATTTTGTCTATCTTATTAAACATAGACCACAAAGTTTATCGGAACGAAGTACCTTACGACACGTTATACTTTAGACACTTGGCACGAAATAGCGACACTTTTGCTGTAGTAAGTTACAGCCAAGCATATATTGTAGTTCGGGTCAGTTCTCATATAATAGTCAATCTCTCTTCACTATTTTTAAGCTGTAATTGTTTTATTATTATTGTTAATTTATTTCGTTGTGCCTGTTATTTAATACATAATCTATACTAAAAGGAACTTTATTACGACCAGGTGTCCCACACCTTTTTACTCTTTTGAGTTTACTATTTACCTTTTCAGCGAAAGTTAAAAACGATATTGGGCACTTTAAATAATTTTAATTTAAATAAATCTACTAATTTTAGGTAATACCTAGTAAATTAACCAACTTACTCAATGTGAAAATAACCATGCTTTGCTTACATCCTATGAGGTACTGAGGAAGGAATATAGAGGATGTTTGTTGGGTTTTATACTAGTTGTTTGCACCTGATACCATGTACAAAGATTTCTTAGGAAGGATATAATGCTTTTATGATTTTGTCAACTTCCCTTTTACAGCTGCTTTTTAGAAATATATCAGAACAAGGCCAACCAGGTTTATTATTTTACAAAAGACACCTGTTTTATTACACATTTTGTTTTTTGTTTCATTATGCAATCCAATTTTTAAAGTATATTATTAATTTTATTCACCTACCTTGATTTCTTGATTTGCCGTAAGTGGATGAAAAATTTTTTGCTAGGCTTCTTTTTTATGTATTTATTTGTTACACATATACATTAACAGCTTATGCAGCAGCTAATTCTTCTTGAACCTTTTTCCATTCAGAAAGTGGTCCATGTTCAGGGCGATATTGAACATTACAACCATCTTGTTTAAGGCGACCTTGATTTTTCAAATCTTCATACATCTGTCTCTCATATTTTGTAAAGCCCCATTTCTTGGAAACATAAATCTTCTGACGTCCTGGGAACTTGAACTTGGCACGTCTAAGCGCCTCAATAACCTAAATGTCAATAAAAAACAAATAACATCAAATGGTTATACATAAAAACTCACAACAAATAAACTAACCTGAGCCTTAAAACGGTCACTGGACCTAACACTCATAATGGGTTGTCCAATGTGAACACGTGCAACAGTTCCTTGAGGTTTACCAAAAGCACCTCTCATACCAGTTTGGAGCCTATCACAAGAACTATTTTATTGAGATTTCAAAGCTATAAAAAGAATACTTACCTATCAGCTCCAGCACATGACAACATTTTATTGATTCTAATAACATGAAATGGATGAAGCCTAATTCGAATGTGGAACTGATCTTTACCACAGTTCTTTACTAAATATTTGTTTGCACAAATACGTCCTGCTTCCAATGCTTCAGAGCTAAGTTGTTCATATTCATCTGACACTAAATGAACACATAAAGGAAAATCTTCTACGGCTGCCTTCTTTTTTCCTAAGTCGAAAATCCTAATTTTTGGGTCGGGTACACCACGACAAAACCGTGATTTTGGATACGGTTTATTTTTACAATAACGATAACTAAAAATATGTATTTAATAATTAATTAAATTTAACACTGAACTAATATTGTGAAATTGATTACTTAAGAAAAACAATGAATCTTACCATCTTGCAGGTCGTCTTCCCATTTTGCCTGAAATAAGAGAAAAGTATTAAAAATAAAATATTTCCTAAATTTTATAACAATTAAGAAATTTGTTGAAACCTCTAAATAGTTTAAGTAAAAACTGATGTTAAAGAAATAAAACGCTGTAATACTTACCTCCTTTCACTTTCCTGACAATTGATAGGAGAAACGGAAATGACACGAAACTCACTAACGACCATATAACGGCTAAATCTAGTGATTTTTATTTCTCTTTAACATGGCGCTAAATTCAATTGAAATTATAAGATGTTACAAAGATGAGGTTTATTGAATGTTTATTTTTAGCAATAAAAAAACATTAATTATACAAACACATACAGTATGTACATGACAAAAAATTACTTTATTGATTATAAAAAAAGACATCGATAATCTTAAAAAAAAAGAAACAAAGAGAATATCCTACAATTTATATCTTGTTTATACTGATTCGATAAAAAATAAAAAAACAACACCAAAATAATATACATATTTAGAAAATTATACGTTAACCGTTCGTTCTGAAATTGGAATACTGTTGTCAACAACCAAGAGACGATGCGTGCTGGAACCACTAGAATAACTATCGCTGCTACCACTTACATGTGAAAGAGGGGTATTCGGTAATTTTTGAGGCGTGCCTTCCACAGAGCTGGAAGAAACTTCTTCATATAGAGGAACTGAATTTCCTGGCGCTGATTCTTCAGGAGTATAGTAATCTGAATCGTCTCCTTTTTCTTTCTCTTCACCTAAACATATTACAGTAATTCATCAACAAAAAATATGCAATTAAACGAATTCTTCATAATCAACTAAACTTAGTTATAAAAGAAACTCAGTTATTTGAAGTTCGCGCTGTCAGACTTAAAATGGAAACAGTAATTCACAAATGGTTTATTCAGATCGAAAATGTATATAAATTTCGACCATAAAATTGTATCAACGCAAGTTTAACCACTACGAGTTCTCTGTTTTTAATGTTTGAAAATATGTGCATAATATATACAAAAATAAACAATAAAACGAATTCCATTTATTACTTATTATGCTCATTTTTACTATTTTTTTGTTTATTATTGTTCTTTATTTCATTGCATTGTATGTTACTTTAATTTAATAGCCTTTATTGCATCACAGATTATTTCTTTGCTTTTTCTATTATTGTGTAGAAACAGTGAAATAAACAAAGTAAACGAAAATTATTCAAAAACATAAACATACTACCTGTGATTTAATTTTTTTCTTTTATAATTTTATTTTCATAGATTCAGAAGGAGAACGAAGGTGACATGTTACATTGTGTTAAAAAAAATTAGGATTATTTGTTACTATTTAGGTGTACAAAGTTTTTGATTTTGTAAATATATTTGAAATGCTAAAACAGTATTTTTTAGGTGCTGTGAACCGAAAAAAGCAACCGTTGTTTACATTATCGATTCGTTCATGCTAATGAATGTTATACTAAAAATGTAATAAACATTCATACAAATATAAAACATTAATATCTACAGACAAAGCTTTTTCCATTCTGGGCAACTCTAAACTCTGTTTTTTGTTGATAATACCTGGTTCGACGTATGTATCTTTCAGAGCCAGAGATTATTTCCTTCTTTGTTTTATCTTACAAATTTTATATTTTGCAACACTATATTTACTGACTACATACATAACATTTTGCTAACTGAGACAATTAATTTTTTAAACTATATTTTGCATATCTATAAAAGATTAAAAAAAAAAAAGGAAAATTATAGGTGTGTCTGGAGCGCGGTGCTATACGAGTGCGAGACATGGACGAAAAGGTTAGAAGCGTTCGAAATATGATGTTACAGGCGAATAGCGAGGATACCGCAGATAAAGAAGAAGAAATAGGCGAGATAGATTGGTAGGATACCTTCTCAGCCATGAAGGGCTAGTTAGAAACATATTAGACGCAGAAACAGGAGTTAAGAGGAGTAGAGGTAGACCTAAATTAGATTACTGTTCACAGATAGTTAAAGATGTAGGATGTTCTAGTTTTAGGGAAATGCGAAGATTAGCTCAGGATAGGAAAAAGTGGAGGTGCGTAACCAACTAGTCTTAGGACTGACGATCTTATAATGATGATATATTGATATGTACAAAAATGACTTACGACTTTAAACTGTATACACGTAAGGAAAATATTTAACCGTCCATAAAGTTTTATTACATGTATGGAATATTAGTAGTGTTAATGACGATTATAACGTAGGCGGGGGTTAAACGCCTCTACATCAAATGAACCGATATGACGAGAGGCGATCAGAACAAAAAAAAATTTCAGTCGCATGTGTGGTATATGCTATTAACTTGCATACAACTGCGAAGTGCATACGTATTCTAATTCTTTTTGTTCGATGATTTAATTACTGTCATTCTCTGGTAAAGAAAATAAATTATAATTTACTTCATTAAGGATTCAAATAGGCTACCACAGTTCGCCAAACAATATCCCAGTTTGCTATAAAAACTCTCGACGAGTGTTTACTAACATCCCAATACTTTTAGGAGAGCTTTTAGTGCAAATGATGCTCCTGGCTTGCTCCAGCAGATGAATATGGCACAAATTTTCTGGAAAATACGTGATAGCGTATCAAAACTCATCCACATTGCTACTGCCTGCTGGAACAGTTATGTCTCATATAAAAAAAAAACCTGTTGGGTGTTTCATTCCCACCAGCCAGTAATGCTGGTGGGCGGGCAGTCCCTCCGGACTATGCCGGAAGGTAGGGCGGATGGCCCTCTTCAGCCTGCTTTCAGGAATCGTGGGAATGGGTGGGTGGTGGTTCGGGTGAGAAAGTTGAGACGGACGAAATGAAGACAGAAGAGAATGAAAGACTATCTGTGGAATATTACTGCCTCAGCATTTGCCTAAGTGATCCAAGGAATCAAAGCTTTTAAAACATACATTCCATCCGAGATCGGAATAGAACCGGCGTCCTCCCGAATACTAAGCAATGGTCTAAACCTCTAGGCCATGCCGCTCGGTGAAGCCTCATATACTAACCTATTTGTTTATATAACCGAAAATTTATTTTGTTCGGGGTATACGGTGGCCTAGTATAATTAATATGCTGCTCCCATTATGCGGAAGTTCCGTTCTACAATTTTCAAATTATCGAGTGTATACTGCAATTAGTAAATAAGGGCTGTTACGTTTTATTACTATACCAAGTTTCTAGGTTTAATAGTATTAAAGAAAAATACCTGTCATCCACCCACAAGTTAAAACTGTACGCAACGCAATAACCCAATCTCTCATAAATTACCTATACCAAAAAAAAAAAGAATACAAACTGCTGTCTAACCAACTACATGCAATAATTTACCATTGTTTACTTACATACTAGTAAAGAAGGTCTAATATATATTATCTCATGTTTTATTTATTAAAATTGACTAATCGATTTTGGACTATTACTTGGTAATACAATCTTACCCGACTTTTTAATCTTCTCAGCTTTACAATAATTCATATTCTCTTCATTATCAGTGTCACCATCGTCAATGTGCTCCACAATATCAACCATGTTTAAAGCCAAAGGATTACCACGGCTAGAGAGCTCCTTTTGTAGTAAAGGCGATAATTTCTCAGCTTCGCTATCTTCATCTTGCGCCTTTAAATATAAAAATAAATATACATGCAAAATAAAAAAGTTTTATGAATAAGAACATCTGACCCTGAACAACAAATGTTTCAGGCACTTTTTTTTTAAGAAAAATTAAATTCACCCAAGTTAAAAAAAATACATAAATTATTACTTCGTCTTTTTCGAAGACTTCTGCATGCCGCAAATTTTCACGAGATCTATGTTTATCGGTGCGAGAGCTCAATTCCATTTCTGTCGACAATAAAGGACATTGTGAAGTCTCCCTGTTGTTTTCTTCTTCTCTAGCCGACGATGAAATTGTTCTCATACCAAACTGTAACACATATTGTATGTATATAAGCACATATTACGTTCGAAACTATATAAAATCAGACTAATACATACGTGGTTTGTAAGGCCGTTGATTGGCCCAAAATATTGTGTACTAACAAAAAAAAAACCTTTTTTCTTTCAAATAGTTTAAGTGGAGCTCATAATATTGATATTTACCGGTCGCTCGTTGGACTTTTTAGTTTTCCATAAGTGAAGCACGAGAAAGAATATTTTACGAGTAATTTACACGAACGGAATCAAGTCCGTTAAAAAAAACATAAAATATTCTCTAAAACAGTTTCCAAAGTTTCTTTAAACAAAATTACTTAAACAAATTAACACAAAAACTGCTATTCCGGAAAAAAAATACCGCAATTCCATTCTACATGAAAAAAAAAGCTGAAATTATTTCATAAAGTTTCATATCATTGATATAAAATCTAAAAATGCAACTGTAATGTGTCAGTTAATGGCAGGATGGAGAAAAAACAGTTTTTTAAATTTGTTTCAAAACGTTTTAAACAAGTATTCCTACTATTTAAACATTTTTTTACGTTTATTTTAAACATATGTTTTAAATATTTTAAACTTGTTTTAAACAAGTTCTTTTTATTGTGGCGTGTTGACGTCATTAATTAGTTGTTTTTAACAGTATCTAAAGCACGTGTCTTAAGCATGACAACCCTGTTTTCTTTATTCATATCTATAACCAATAACTACTTTTACTCTCCCCGTAGAATTATATATAAAAGAAATTAAGAGTGCTGTCAGCATAGGGCAAAGTAGTATTACGTAGTTAGTATCAGTAATTTCTTATGCTGAAGTGTACGATGTGTTGCATACCTATTTACAAACAATTCCTTTAAATATAATTTTTCAAACAATTTTTAACACAAAGAAAATGATTGAACAAATTCTTCACAAAAGTGAATTTCGACCACTCGAAACAATGGTGCTGCGAGTTTCGAGCTCACAGTGACTATTAGGGGGGAAGAACTAGTTTTTTTAATGTTTTTTTTTTTGTTTAAAATAAATAATACTAATTGTTGTCTATTTGTCTAATTGTTCGTCATTGCAAAATTTTCTGATTACAGAAAACCATTTTGAGAATTTTACTGTTTTATCTTCATACCTTGCAAGTGTAAAATCAAAGAATTTACCTTTGAAATTAGTTTCAGTTAATTTTGTGAAAAAACGTACAAATAAGAGCTGCCTATTAATATTTTTTAAGAAATCTCTGAAAAATATGCCTCTATCGTACTAACATCCATCCTTTGAAATTTCACATCAAATCAAGTGAGCCAAAACAAAACAAAGAAAATATACAAACCTCATGTCTTGAGGTATCAGTATCTTTTCCACTTTTTGAAGAAACGTGGTCTTCACTGTGTCTATTTAAAATCTGTGCAGCTTGAATGGCACACTCATTGTCTGGCGTTTCGACCAAATCTGGAATGGCAGCAGGTGGCTGTTTGGGCATCATAGGTCCGTTTAGAGCTTCTATAAGTGAAACTGCTTCATAACCAGGAGGAATAGGGGGAATATTATCACAACTACCCTGTATAATAAAATTTTGTTTGAAAAAGTAATGTAAAATAATATTTACAAGTATTATCATACTTCAGGGGCACTAATTGCCTGTATTGCATTTGAACTTTTTTGAAGAGCCCTAATTTGTAGCAAAGCTCGAAATGGTGCTCTACAGATGGGGCAGTTGTTTGCCTGATAACGTAAAGAATCTGCGCACGAATTGCACAAACACAAATGTCGACAGGGAAGAATTAAAGTATCCCTTACATCACACATACAAATAACACATTCAGCACCACTGTCTTCAACATCATCATCGTTTACTTGCTATAGACAAAGAACAAAATTAGTAACAATTTTGGTGGAATACAAATGATTACCTTCTCATAATTTTTATTCTCAATGCCATATATTTCTTGTAATAGGTAACACAGACCATCAACAAACAGTTTTTGCTTCAAAGCTTTTAAAACATACATTCCATCCGAGATATTTNTTCATAACAAAAGAATATTAGCCGAAGGATTATTTTATGGAGAAGTGTGCATGTAAGTATAATAAAAAATATTTATGAATGTTTAAAATTTAAACAGTGTATTTGGTAGCAAACCACATAAGGAACAACTTTAACTAATTTTAATAAAAATGTATGAATTTAGAATTGAACACCTTTGAGATCTTCAAGTTCCTGTAAACAAATAATTTGAAAAACAGAAAACATTGATATTCATGATAGAGAATAGAGGTAAGAAGCCGACGTTTTATATTTGCGAGAAGCAAACTGTGTAAAAACCCCTTACAATGAGAAGTCACAGAGAAAGGTAGCGAAAAGATAGCTGCAAATTCACGCGTTTTACACAATTTTAATTGACAGCATTCCTTACAACTTATCGTCTTATTTTCGTGATTTATAATTATGTAACAATATGTTGCGTGTCAATAATGTGTAACAATGGCTACTAAAGTAACAATGAGAAAGTCTCCCAATGTAAAGTATTAAAAAGTCGCCTGTAAGTACAAAATACGCGAATTTCGCACGGAGACTAAGAATAACCGCAAGGGATTTTGTTTAAAAAAATATTTTTTTTTTAAATATATATCACAAAATGGTGAAGGATCAAATACGTGAGACATTTGACAAAATTGTTGGTTAGCACCTTTTTTGTAATGAAATGTTTCAGAATTTAATGAAGGATCTTTAGAAATATATCTAAAATTTTATATTAAATATTTCAATTATCAATATAAGTTTCAAATGTACACACAAATTTTAATTTTCTTGAATATATATCAACAGTACTTACGTAACCCCTGTTGGAGTGATTTCTTCTGTACAAAAATAATAGATTGTTATAGAACATCTAACATCACAATCAAAAGTAAATTCTATATTAAATGGACAACCTTTTGATGCTTCAATATCACGATCATGACCATCCCCATTTCCCTTTTCCACCCTAGATTTCCCATAATCAGCAGGAGCTCTTACAAAACGAAGTGATTCTTTTCTTATATTAACTAAGCTTTTCAATGTTTTAGTTGGTTCATTTGGTTGAGGGGGAGGATATGGAAACTAATAAAAGTATTAAAGTTTACACAAATGCTTAAAAATAATTATAATTTTTATACTTACTGGTGTTGGTCTACTACTTAGAAAATTAAGATCTGAATTTTCGCCAAATAAATAAGATTCCGGCTGAGGTGTATCAAAACGCTCTCCGCCCATTATAAAATGACTTCCAAAATAATTTCCTTTAAAAATAAAGACATGATTTACCTACACATTAAAATAACATAATGAAGTTACATACCAGAGCGGGGTGGATACTTGTAAGCGTGGTTTGAGACTATATCAACCTCTTCAACTCGTCTTGCACGTTGCCTGCTTGTTATAGCACCCATCTTTATCAATTTCTCATACATCCATTTAATAACTAAACAATTTTTTCATTTTAACTCTTCCTAACTATTTTGATTAACCTATTTCCTATGTAACATCAACCTTCACAGTAATGTCAATCTGTCAGACAAGTGCCATCAGCTGATGAAAATGGTTAAAGTCTACAATTTCATATCTAAATAAATTGAAACGAAAAACGAAAAAAAAATATATATTTAAAAATGAAGGTATTCCATTATTAATATTTATGGTTGTATTAATACAATTGTTTCTTCATTAATTTTTAAAGACGTGTCAACGTTATTATCGCCACATCCACAAAACTGCAAAAACACAAAACAATAACCATAAATGACACAATAAGCAACAATCATTGAACTAACAGTGTTCCCCTCCACTTCAATGGGAACAATATTTTAAATCACTCTATGCTCACAATCCACTCATAATCAGTACATAATGATAATAATAATAATGAGGTATCAGGAGACACAGTAGGCACCATAGATTAGATAGGCACTATGTAAACATAACATCTAGGTCATACATAGTAACTATAATCATAGACATATATTAATGGACGTGCCTTAGCCGTATGTCGTTGTAATAATTTCTTGGTTCGAAAAGAGAGGGAGATGGCGTATGGTTTCGGACTAGTGGTATCTCTTTCATGACACGCTCACGCACTAACGTGAGAGAGATGGATATTGTCCGAAACTTCGTTCCTTTTCTTTCTTTTGTTGTACAACAATACTGACCGCTAAGGCATGTCTATTAGTAAACGTCGATAACTATTGGTATGATACTGGAATACTGGTACTACAGGTACTACTATAGCAATAAAACTGATTGTTTATGCTGAAAAGATGCTGAATGTGCTGATTGTTGCAACAACTGGCAATAACCATAGACAAACAACAACAGTGGCTCTTACAGAAAAATCTAAAAATATTTTAAAACATCGGTATTAATTTTTAATCATTTTTTAATTAACATTAGTGATAACCATGCGAAGTAATGGATTCCAATAACGAATCAAATTCAGATCTACAAAAACGGATGACTGTGGATGATTTAAATATAGAAATTTTACCAGTGTTTTATGAAATTATTAAGAGGTAAGTTAATTTTAACTATTAAAATGTGTCACAAACGATTGTGTAATTAGTTATCCAGTACATACCAATAATTTTAGTGTTGAGAGGGACCATCACGATAATACCGCTAAAACACGAGAGTCCCAAGATTGCTCTCAGAAAGTTTTAGAACTTCAAAAACGATTCGATCAGGCTCGGTCACAGGTATAAAAATTGATTAGGTTAAAAATATTTACCCCTTTTTTACAGTAACTTTCACATATAGATAAGTTTACTACCAGGCATTGATTATAGTAAAGAACAGCAACTTCAACATTTAGAAGCCCTTAAAACTCAACTTCATTTGAAACAAGAACTTTTATACAAGTACCGGTTTATGTATCCTTTCCAAATGCAGAAGTAAACAGAAATGGTATTAAGATTGCTATTAAAATATCTTGTAAATAATGAGCAATTGGTCCATCGACTGAGTCAATCATATCCAGTTCGAAGGGCAGCTCAGTTAGCTGTTTTATTTTACATGAGAAGTAAACATATGATGCAAGAAAAGGGTATGGATGGCACTTTAACTCCTGAGCAGTTTAAAGCTCTTATAAGAAATTTTCAACACAATCTACAAAAAGAACTGAAGGATGCTCATGAGAAATTTAAAAGCAGAAAATTTTGAGTAGGCACTTGATGAATTTACATAATTATAAAAATTTCAATAGCTTCAAAGATATGACTGACTTTTTTTAAAAGCAAAATTATCTTAATATGTGATTGTATTACAACACTTCAGTTTTACATACTTTAAAATGTAGCATACTGTTAAAATGTAATAAGTAGAAATAAATTTGAAATGGTTATTGCATATTTTTTAATTGTGAATTGAATTGCTATTAAATGAAGTCTTTATTGACAATTTCTTATTTTATTTGATAATGTATTTGTTTTTTTTTTTAATTTTTATTTTATTGCCATGAAAAATAATAAAAGTGGAGGTG